TTTTCTGAAGTAGTGAAAGTTGTCAAAGAAAGTGAAGGTAGTACCCATAAGCAACGAATAAGCTCACTTAAACGTTGACGCCTCATGAAAAACATTTCAACTGTTTCCCCCCGACTTTTCTTGATCTCGAACGTTTGGAGAATGTATGGGAACTGAATTCGTATTCAGTAATAATTTAAAAAGCCCTACACCTTTTGAACATTAATTATTGTAGAGAGTGAAAACGGATGTTGCGAAGTGAAGTCATGAAGTGAATCTGAGAAATTATAAGTTAAGTGGTGCAATTCGCTAATTAAACTCTTATGAAACGCATTTATATAAATGTATAGCATTGTGATGGCCGATTAAATATAAAGCCTCAAGAGGAATAACCTAAATTTTGAATCATCGTGTAAAAATATAACAGTGCTCTCAACGTGCATTCAACATCGTAGCCGGATTGATATAAATTGGTTGGTAATTTCATGATCCCATAAGTATACCTAGATAAATAGAAGCAAAAGGACTTACCCGACGGTAACGTCGAAAATATTGCTGCCGACCGAAGAGGAGACGGCCATATCACCAAAGCCCTTCCTTGCCACGATTACACTAGTGATTAGGTCAGGTATGGAAGTGCCCGCGGCTAGGAAAGTCAGCCCCATAACTTCAGGAGCGATACCAAACGTTTGTCCCGTTCGGTTTGCCCACCAGACCATCAGGTACGAGTAGGCCGCTATCCATACGATGCTGCCCAGAAACGTGACTGGGAAGAACCTTTTACCTGTATGCAATAAGGCTTAACATAGAAACAACATCTGTTAATTATATACTGGGTGAGTCAAATGTAATCTTCATAACTTCGAGAATCAATACACAGGTTAGAATTAAAAAAAAAGCATTCCTTTTGGGGTTTGTTCATCCGATTGAAGAAAAATTCGGCAACCTTCCCAATGGCACTGCATTTTTAGTTAGTTTCCACAGGATACAATAGCTATTTTCCAAATTGTAAATGCTTCTAAAACTTTACCTCTAGGGGCCCTGGTATCCGGTAAAGTCAACCAAAGCGGGAAGACAATTGGAGCAAGCAGGACGTAAGTTAGTCGTTTCCGGGGATCATCTGGCCAGCTCATGTTCATAGCCCCAGATGGTGTTTCCTCGTTGTCACCTGCACTACCATCTCCTATCTGAAGACACACTACTGCTTGAGAACTTAAAGATTTACGAGAGGTACGTGTGCGTACTGCTGACATTCGTCTCTAGAAATCACAGAAAAACCAATTGTATTTTTCGATAATTTACCACTAATCATTATACAATTGCCTACTAAGTCATTAATAGCAGAAAGTAAGAATAAGGAGTTTTCACATAAGAAGTAGCCGTAAAAACAAAATATATTCTACTATAATGTAAATATGATTTTCGATCTTTGTACAGAAAGCATCTGTTTAACAGACATAGGACCTAACATGTATGAGTGAAGGCATTTTAGTTCAAGCCAGAAGAACTAAAAATACGGTGTTTGCTAAATTAGCTTTCATCTCAGCTGCTTTATTGTTCCGAAAGTTTGCGTCAGGTGTCGGTCCTACGCATTGGAAACTATGGTAGTAAAAAGCCAACCGAATTCTCTCTACACTTGCAAGATATCTAAAGTGAACACTGTGAACAATCAATTAGCAAAATGTTTGCGCAAAGGGTTATTTTCAGGACTAATGAAGAAATAAAAAATACTTAAAACTTACTGTTTTGCAAAGTTGATGCAACAAGAGGGGCAATGAACAACTAATGAATTTCAATTTGTGAAGTGCCGTTTTCAATTATTTACACTTAGCACTGGGACTAAAAAATTGCAATTTCAAATGAATGAAATGTAAGAATTTGCGATTAGAGTAGAAATAATGTAATGGAATTTTAAATACAATGCACGCTCTGGAATACATGACATATTCAACAATCCGGTCTAATATGAGCCAATTTTCAAAAACTACGTAAAGGGTTGCAATTTCTACCCATGCATTCATGTTTTAATTTTTCAAATTAATCCATAATGTTGAAAAAATATATTTGAATTCAAGTGATTGATTTCATGTTATGAGGTACATGAACTTTGTTGTTAGAGCAACTGGTTGTATTTTCCAAAATTATGGATAAAAATTTAAAAAATATTATCAATGAAAGCATTTGATAGGATTGAAGCGTTAGGTATGTTCAACAGAACCAATTCGGGAAATTGACATGGAGCAATCAACATTTAACACCAAAAACTTACTATTATCTTTTATCCACCGATTTAGCTAGTTTTGAATAAAAAGAAAAGCGCAGTAACATGATCACAAACAAATATCATATAGAATAGTTTTATACATTGTAGCACTTTATATCTCAATCACTTCAAACGTACAACTATTTTCGGTGCCTTTACTTGTACTAATTAAGGTCATATTTATTCGTTCCTGAGTAGAGGAGAGCCAAAATGTGAAATTCTGTTTTATTTATCACATACATGCGACAGCATGCGTATTGTTACTTAAAAACTACAAAAGTTAACCCAATTAATCAAGTTTTGACTCCCTCTATATATTCATATATCTTTTGATTATTGTACGTTTGACTCTTCTCACTAATATGTATATAAAAATATGCACATCCATCCAATTGAAATAAAGGACTCATAGACTTTTGCCAAATAGCGCAGACTATCTAAAGTGTCCATATATTAATGTGTGGCGTATGTAGAAAATACAGCAAATAAATAGTGTAACTAGAAACTAAAATTATTTTAACGAGTCTCCATCTATGTTGGACGTTGATTAGATGCCATATAAATTGCTCATATTGGATTTTTACCAGTAGTAGGTACAGTTTGTAACAATATAAGAAAATGCCCATTTTTGTTTATTATTGTACCCAATTATAATTATAATTTTGGCTTCATTCCTTGGTTTTTCCGACTTAATGTGTAATTGGCTGGTAAAGACTTCCGTGAATTCCATGAATTACAATTTTTAGAGTGGTGCAGTAACTCAGTTTCGTGGCTGGGAAAATGTTGATGGCTTTTTTTACTTGTGTTTAGATTTATTTTATGGGTTATAATCATTTAAAAATTTCTTCAAAATTTCTGAATTTTTCAGTTTTAGTCAAGTCACTCTTTCTTCCAAATGCTCAATTTTCTAAGGTTTTACTTAAAAACGTTAACAATTTTAAAGCATTCTGCGCGAAAAATTATGAAATAAATTTCGAATCCTTCATCGCTTTGTAAAAAGTTTTTAAATTCTTTTCCGGCTTCGAATTGGTAACAAAAATCAAATAATTTTATATCAAAAAACGAACACAATAAGCGAAATTTGATAGCAGATTATTTGGAAATCTCGCCACCACCATACCTCTGAAGGCTGTAGAGTTTGTTAAAAAATATGGTTCTTTAGTTTTGACTGATTTTTTTTGTTTTACTTTCTACTCAAAAACGCTCTATTTGTAGAGTTTCACTTCAAAATACGGATGATCTGGAAGTCTTAAAATGGAGGCAAAAAATTACAAGAAATTTATAGCTTTGTAAAAGTTTTACGAAACTTTTTTCAGCGTCGTATTCGCGACGAAAACGAAAATAAATTCTTCCCGTTTTTTCTCGAAACCCTTAAAGTTCGATCACGAAACTAAAAGTTTTTAACCGTAAACACAAAAAACTATTATTTTCTGATGATTTTCTTCTTTTCTGACAATAATGAGGTCTTTTCAGCCAAAAATGACAACATTCATTTTGCTGGAGAATTCGCCTAATTCATTGGTTTGCAGGGAACTGTAGAAAACCCCCATTTCAGCTTGGAATTTGGAACAAAAAATTATTAGGAAAATTCGCCGCCCTCATTGATCTGAAGATTTTCAAAATTCATTTAAATTTTCAGGTCATTCCAGTTTTAAAAAAGTTTCTATTAATAATTTTTTTCTACCCAAAAATCGGATTTTTTTTAACCGCTTTGTAAAACTTTTTGCAGCTTCAAATTATGGAAAAAACTCTAATAATTATTTCTGCGTCTTTTTCCAAGAAAAAACTCTTGGAAACTGGGGTTTCTTCACTTTTAGGTCAATATTTCTAAACAACACTCTCTCTAAACAGAAAAAATTGAGAGATCGATTTTACAAGAAAAATCGCCACTTTCTTTGGACTCAGTTCTACTGCTGGAAAAATCTTGATAAATTTTGTTAGATTTTATATTCTTCCTTTTTATATCTCATTAACTGATGAGTTATAACTCGTTAGGAAAAAAATGGTAAATGTTAGCGTTTGGTGTGCAATAATTCTTAATTGGTTTTGAAGCAAATGGTTAATTTTTGAATGACCCGTAATGGGCACATATTATTTAAAAATGCCGGGGAAGAAAATTAAATATTGCTTAGATTATACACTTTCCACTCTGATAAATTAGGTATGGGAACAAGATGGAAAACCTAATTTATAGAACTTTCTTTCGTACTTTCTTGAATCTATAGTCATATTTAAATTTTTGTCCTTAGAAAATAGTCAGTTGTAAGAATATAATAGATATAAAATAAATAATATATCTTCCAGATCAATTATTTTCCAGATTTTCATCTGTGAGATAAAAATGTTACGCCCTAATGACTAATAAAACAAACAATAGCATAGTTTTCCCGCATCATGTTGAAATTTAACATTTAATGGAGCTGTATAATACAGATTGACTCATTTTAAAAAATATGTTTTTATTTAAACATTTAAGGTTTGCTGTAAATTCCAATATCACTCATAGAAACTCGAGCAAAAATCATATAATGTGATGATTATTGAAAAAATGCACTCTCTCCAAAAAAAAGTTTCTGCTTTACTTGTAATTGCTCTTAACAGAGAGACTTACTGAAATGATAAAACTCTGCACGCGTGATGGTTCCAAGTTAAATTGACTCTATTTGAAATTGCCTTCAAAGACGAATTGTCTTACTGTAAACTTTACTAACGAAAAGAACGCTACTTATAGACTGCCATGTAAAAAAATCAAATTTTTTACTTTAATTTTTTAGCAACATTCCAGGATTGCGTTTGCAAAAGTGGTGCGTTTTTTACGTGAAATAAAATCCCTGTTTATTTAATATTGGAGATAATCAACATCGTCAAAATATTTTTTCCCAAATTCGTTGTTATTTTTTCTTTCATTTTATTACTTGTTTAATTCTTGTTTTTTTGTTATTATTCTTTAAGTTATTGCCTGCCAGTTGTCTTAAGCTTAATAATAATAAGGCAATAAATGATTTTAGAACTATTTTCAACTTGTACGATATCTTCATTAATTAACATTAATTAAAACTACAACGTTGATTAGCTTAATTTGGATCCACCTCTGTAAGCATATTGGGTATAGAAATAACTATTATTCGCACTTTTTTTCAATTGGTAGGCATTGAAGTGCTAAGAAAAAACCACGCGCCAATATAATTATACTTGAAAAGTTTTCATGGATATTAAGGACATTTGCAACGCTTAAATTATTTTTAATAATAATGTCTTGGCTGAAGCTGGTGAGTTTTTGGGTCTTTTAGGCCGTTCTTGAAAAAAAATTATTTCTGACGTTTTCCAAGAACAAGGGGCTTGCATCCTCAGAGGCGTTTCTTTCGTTTAAGCCCAAAAAACTCACCAGTCGCAAACACTGACCGTCAAAGCCTAACCATTTTGATATGTTTTTGAATTGTTCAAACAAAGTAGAACGCTTTGTACTCAACAGTTTCGTTGAGGTACGACTGTTTTCAAAATGTTAGTCAGCGCTCCTACATTAAAATGTTGCAATGCAATACAAGTATAGGAGTATAAAAAAACAGTTAAAGAACAAACCTCTCAAAATTTTAGTGCTTTAAACAAAAATGCTATACGGGGTGACAATTTGAAAACTTGCAACGGCTATATTTGGGAAACAAGTAATATGGATAAAATTCATCGGAACTGTTTTTATAATAAATAGGAGGAACCAAAGTTATGAATCAACCAAACTACCCCGATCAAAAAAGCTGTGGCTTTCGAATATTATTCAAGTGACAAAATTAACATCGTAATCATATTGAACGGTAAATCCCAATCCATGAAAACTTCAGTAAAGTTCCTTATTGAAGAAACAAATGTATATCTAGTTATGATGGAAGATATAGATACTCACCGCATCCATAGTGATATCCCCTAAGGCGTTCGGTACTCCGTTGGGCATATTCGATGACAGGCTGGATGGAGCCAGCGCTGTTTCTTGTTTATCTAAGGTAGCTGTGGCTACGTAACTGGCTGCTGAAGACGTGGCAGCGCCATTTTGAGGTCTTGTAGCGTCCAGTAGCACTTTCAAGGAAGCTATGGCATGAAGTTGTGTGGCCTTTTCGTCTACTTTTCCTGAAAATCAAAATTTCCGGCTTCATACCTTGATACCTAAATGATTGAAACGAGACACATGCCTGAATACGATCCCTTAGTCATGCCTACTTGCTACTGTTTCAAAGAATACATCCAACCATTTTGATATAAGGTGTTTCATAGAATGTAAATTAAGGGAGAATGTTGTACCTTGTCCAGGGTACAGTTATTTGAAGTTATTGGTATTATAGAATTATTGAATTTGAAGTACGGGTTATTTTAAAAGCTAATTACAGCACAAATTAACTTTGGGAGAAAGTTTTAAATGCTGCGTCAAGGGGCTGAATCATTGCTTATGAGTTCGTACTTCTTACCTTCGGTACGACTTTAACAATCGACAGTTTAGTTGCCGCAACAATTGTTCTTCACATCCATTTTGAAGAGGATTTTATGTGCTTGAAAGCTGAATTCTTTTAAATACCAAAAATTTTAAAAATTACACAACATAATTTTCAGTAGATGATAGACACTTGAAGAACATGATCAGACAAGTTTTAAGCTAGAAGACGAACAAAAATATGAGATGTACAAATTACATTTGAAGGAATATACACACATTAATGAGCGTTCAATCCTTTAATAACGAAGTGGTTGCTTTCATAAAAACAACGTGAAAATGTGCAATATTATGCAATTGTTTAAACACACATCTTTATCTCACTAAACAAACTGCACGTATCATCAGAATCTAAGCTAATATTAAAACCAAACAAAGCTGTAAGTTCCAAAAAAACATGTTCTTAATCGCATTTCAATAAAATTCATGGTTTGTAGATAAGTTCTATATTGTTGAGGCGGATTCATTTTTTACAAACTTCTTTTTGGGTATTTTGCCTCAAAAATTTTTGTCTTTAAGAAAGACAGAATTTCCTCACGTCTTTTATTACAGATTGATAAATAGTGCTCCCATTTCGCAATAAGAACGAATTATTTATCAAAAAGTAATCAAGAACTATCACCTAGAGTGTATCCTGCGACACACTTAGGCTCAAGCTGTAAGAGAAAATTCCAATTAGTAGAGAAATTAATTTGGTAAGGTAATAATTAATTATATAATAATAATTTAACAAAGTAATTTTTCAAATTAAGGTGATAAGATTAAGATTTCAAACTAGGTGATAGTTCTTGATTACTTTTTGATAAATAATTCGTTCTTATTTCGAAATGAGAGCACTATTTATCAATCTGTAATAAAAGACGTGAGGAAATTCTGTCTTTGAGAAAAAAATTTTGAGGCGAAATACCCAAAATAAAGTTTGTAAAAAATAAAATTCATGGTATTAGACGGAATTTCATTTATAATCCCGCGTTTTTTCTCAAATATTTGTGCAATTAATCCGAAAGCCGTCTTTGATGTTTGAGGACATACAGATTCAATGGGGTCACTGCACATTTTTTTATTTGGTAACGAACAAATAAGAGTCCCACAAATTTTTTCCTTATTCTCCCTAGCCATAACGAATTTATCAGCAATCAAAGTTTAAACACCTTGAAGGCGCCCCGGAATGACGTGTTTTTGTCTAATCGTTGTGACGTCACAGGGCATGTTTCAGCTCTTCCATGTTTGGCGCTTATCCGTTATGTGCTCTAGTGTGAATTTCGACTTTCGCTTTGCTTGTTTCTCAATTATGGAAAGTACAATGGTTTATCGATACTGTAAGGTGCTACAGTGCACAAGTACCACTACGTCCACACCAGGAAAAACAGTTATAAAATTGCCATTAGACGAAAAGTATTATTTAACGCGTTATGACCCATGTGTGTGCGTTCAATTTAGATGTCGTTATGTGCAATTTTTGTTTATTTTATTTCACTGCTCGAAAAAGACATTCAAGACTTTGATAGTCTATAGTAACTTTCGATCCTTTTTTGGGACACAATTTTTTTTGTTATTAGAAATTTGCTATAGGCATTCTTCTAAACGACCCGCACGCTAATGTTTGCAGAAGTTTTAAGCAAAAAAAAATTTGCGCAAAGACCCTGTTGCCAACGTTAATACCTTAGCACAAGTGATAAAGTCTACACCATCATTATTGTGATGATCGTACGGAGCATATTCGTGTATTGTAAGAAAAGCGTATGTTTTAAGACAAAATACGTGCAAATTGCATTGAAAAAATTAATAAAGTGCGTCAAAAACATTTAGTTTGGGATTGAGTCGAGCATGTAAATATATTACCGTCTTGGTAAGAATGGTATAAAGATAGATATACAGGGCGGTCCTCAACTAATGTGCCAAAAATTGCAAACAACTTGTTCAGGCAAAAATATTGCATTGCAGGCAAATTTGTCTAATCTGAAAGTTAATAGTTTCCAAGATACAAGGTGTCGAAGTGTAAATAAAATTTTCGCTTATTTTTAACAGAATCTTAACCACTCTTAAAAACAAACAGAACATATTGGCGACTGTTTCTATCCATGCAGCATGCCTGACATACTTGAAACCCTTTGAAAGTGATTAATTATTTCAACTATTTTTGCTTTTGTCAGCTTCTTAAGTTATTAGTATTAGATATGAGTATGGGTTGACGAACGTAACTGAAGAATGATTTCAATAAAACTTATCTTTTATGTGCAAAGCTCAGATTCAGTTACCAAGCATATTTACGCAGGTTTATTTTATCACCTGGATTTCATTTTTCGAAAACAAGCTGTTAATATTCGCACAATAAATAATCTTCAATACAGATAAGACGCATTTATTAATATTTATTTTATTGAATGGTATAAAATACAGTTCAGAAAAATATCGCAGATATCAGTTCTAGTTTCATGTCAACGATGTTTCATTGGATTGTTCTTGCTGTCTTAACAGTTGAGTAAGTACAAGTTATTTTTTATATACAGGGCGTTCAAAATTGGCGTCATCGCATATCCGCTAATTCGTGAAAGGAGCTTCCAAGTATGTCACAGTTTGAAAAATTATTGTTATACTTGACAAAGGCTATCTACCTGTAACTATCTGTTGATAACAAAAAACATCATTGCTGCTTTGAAATTTCATCAATATTTTCAATCAATAATTTTAATATCAAAAATTTCAGTAGTTTTAAGCAAAGATCGTAATTTTTCTATTCGAATGCTTAAATACTCTAATATGCGGCCAATTAAACATGGGACAATTTCAAAATAATGCTTAATAACAAAGTTTAAATTCGATTTTCAACTGTTAATATCTTCTAGAAACTACCGAAAAAACAAATGTTCCATATTTTTCTCTTAATCTCCAAGTGAGCCTTACCCCTATTTACCCCTTACAAGGAATCGCGCCGATTTTGAATCACCCTGCATACAGCGTGTCCGTTTCCGGAGCTCAACTATACAAGACACGAAATTGATTAAATTAGGGCAAAGTTGCTCACTCAAGAGTTTATCAAAATGCTCTTTAAAAATTTCAAAAAATTCTGCTTCTTTAAGCGACCGGCTATTGGAAATCATTTTCCTCTCACGACTTCGCTTAGCGGCTCAATCTTATGTGACACAAAATAGGAAACACTCTGATCTAAAACGAAAAATCGGCAATGCGTTTGTAGATCAACTGTATATTTTTATCTTGTTTCAGGGCATCATCAAAATGTACCAAATGTTTCCCGGATGGTTTCTTATGGGGAGCAGCTACCTCAGCGTACCAAGTAGAAGGGGCCTGGAATACAAGTGGTAAAGGTGAAAACATATGGGATTGGTTCACGCATACTTATCCAGAAAAGATAGCCAATGGCAGCAATGGTGATGTAGCAGCGGATTCTTACCACAAATACGAAGAAGATGTTGATTTGATTAAGAATTTAGGTGCAAATTTCTACAGATTTTCGTTATCTTGGTCGAGAATATTGCCAAATGGCACCGTTGATCAGATTAATCAAGATGGAGTGGATTATTATCTGGCTCTCCTAAAGGTAAATTAATGTTTGTGCAGTCGTTGATGTAAGATAAAGAGGTTCATCTGAACTGCAGGTAGTTACGTTGTGGCTCCATGGGAATAACTGGTAAACATATTTTTTTATATTTTTAGTTCTGTTGTCATTTTATTAAAGTCAAGTATTATTTACCGAGCAGCTTTGTATAATCGCATTATTAATTCTTATGGAATTTACTGTTCTCACTGAAGCATGTACATAAAATTCATTATTTCCCTGCTCTTTCAATCTATTTCCATTTTTCTACTAAATTCTATAGCGTTTGTTGCCTTTTCTGGGTTAGCTATGTGCTATATTTTGACTGCCAAACACTTTAAAATATGAATTTTAACATTTGTTGCCGCTGTCGATTTTATGAATAATTTATAAATCGACCAATAATTTTGTTTGCGACATTTTCCCTTTCCTGTTTTCATCTCTTTTAGTTAAGTATATTTTACTTGTCTAGTTACCGCCTTTTAAAAGGGGTTTCTGAAAAATGAAATTTTAATAACGCACACATTTTAGCCACAACTTCTATGTAGTGTCTATTTTCTTGAAAAGCACATTTAAAATTGTATTCCGTTTTGCTCATATCCTATATTAAAATTCTCAGTAACTAATAGCTCACTTCTAAACCTAGATAATGTATAATACACAATTTTAACTTTATTAAAAGATGAGCAGTAAAATATGTCTATTTTGCATCTAAAGTGAGAAATTGCTCATATTATTTACAGCGTCTGCAACTTTATTTTATTTCTCGTTAGTTTGGCGTGGTACTAAAAAGTTATACAAAACAAAAACGAAATAATTGCTGAAAACCTCTGCTGCTTGCTGTTGAATAAATCGCAATGCGACAAAAGGTGTGATAATAATAAAACGTATGGTAATTTCGCAAATTAACTATATTTATACAGGGTGTTCTTAAGTTGATACGTTTTGTGGCTGTTAATGGAATCTTCGAATAGTTTTTTCAACAACAGAAACTTAAAAATAATTTAAAAATTACCGCGATGGTACCGTCGACACAGCCATACCTAACCCTTTGCGATTTTCTCTGTGGGATTTTATGAAAAGTTAGTTTATAATTAATTATTCACATACTAGAGCAAGCTGCAGTATCATTTAGTTTTAGTAAATTCAATTTCTTCAATGATGTAACATACAATGGCAAAATAAAGCGCAGATTTAAGCTTTCTTTTTGCAGTTTACTTAGTTTTCATAAAATTGGACGATCAACCATTACTAACTTTTTACAGGGGATAAATGAATGAAAATATGTGTTTAAATAAATTAATTAACCGGTCTTACTACCACATTATAACCATTCCAGTTGCTAAAAGCCAATAATCTGGAGCCTGTAGTGACGATATATCACTGGGACTTACCATTGCCCTTGCAAGAATTAGGCGGCTGGGCAAATACAGCAATATCGGATTATTATGCTGACTACGCAACTCTTTGCTACAGTTTGTTTGGAGAATATGTGACTTATTGGATCACCCTAAACGAACCTATAACTCAATGCTATTACGGGTATGGTGATGGTACACATGCACCTGGTATAGCAGAATCCGGAACTGCTACTTATCAGTGCGCTCATACTCAACTTCTAGCTCATGCCAAGGCCTACCGTAGCTACAATGATTCTTTCAGAGACACTCAAAATGGTAAGATGCGTAAAGATTTATTTACAAATGTATTCATATATAAAATTCAGAGTGCCCAGAAATTAGATAGGCGAACGAATTTCCTGACCTAAATCGTCTTATCCAAATTGGTTCCTAAGGGATGTAGAACTCATTTAATGATGCATCTTCTTCTTCTTCTTGTGCATATTAACTAATGAATTTTTGGGATCACATGACTCGTCTGTAGTGCGTCTCTAGCCGCATGTATTAGGCTTTCCACTGTTCGTAAGCCAGTCCACTCAGAGACAAGGGAGAATTATTACTTGTCTCTGGGTGCACTCTTTCATTCTTCTTCCACTTCTTCCTTCACATTTCCCTCCTTCTCTCTATCTTCCCCTCGATGACCAGTCCTAAGAGCTGGTATTCAGCATTATGTGCCCCAGGTGAGCAATTTTCCTTTTGTTGATCATCAATAACAGTTCACGTTCTTTGGTTATTCTTCTTGGGACATTTTCGTTGGTTACTCGGCCCGTCTATAGGATTTCAGCATGCTGCGGTATACACATCCCAAAAAAACTTACCAGTTTTTATCGAACTTAATTTAAAGTATATATTTTTGGAGCACCTTTATCGAGTTAATCTTGGGTTGAGAGTACCTTACCAGTGAAACTCCTAGAAACTATAAACTTTTGCAAAACATTCAGTCAATCAGTTTTAATATGTTAGATAATTCCGCTCTATAAAAACAAATAAACATGTGAATTTTAGGAAAAGTTGGTATAGTGCTGGTCAGTTTGTATTATGAGCCTTTAACTGATAGTGAAGAGGATAAAGCTGCAGCCGATAGAGGTGTTCAATGGGCGGTAAGCAATATGCCTCTAGAACTAGAGATTTTAATTATTTTTAAAATGTTTTAAACCTTTTCTTTGTACAAAGAGGCATGGGATTTTGTCTGCTAAATAAATCAAGCTTTACCCGTTCTTGAGTGTGCTTATGCTAGGGAAAAGCTTTGATTCTCTTCAAAGAAACTGACAAAGTTGCTGCGGGGTCTCAAAGATCAGTACTTCAACTCCACAAATCAAAAGTCAGACACAAGCGCAATTAATTTAATTGCGGAATAAGGAACAGTTAAAATGTCTGTTGTTATTATAAAGCATATGCGATTTATTTGCAATAGTTCAATTGCATCAATCAATGTAGTAAATTTGGTGCTAAATGCCAGTTTTAGTATATAAAGTATGTTAATTTTCTTTGTAGTTAGGTTTGTTTGGCCACCCCATATTTGTAGGAAATTGGCCTCAAGTAGTAATTGATAGAGTTGCAAATGTGAGCGCTGTTCAAGGTTTCAATGAATCAAGACTGCCATCCTTTACCGATGAGGAGGTGGCGCTCATTAATGGAACTCAAGACTACTTAGGGTTTAATTAGTAAGTTATTCAAGTCCCATCATTATCCAAATATCATGCATGCACGATATAAAAAAAAATTTCTAGTGGCGTTTAACAACTATAAAGCTCCTTCAAACGGGAGGCTTAAGCAATTTATATATATAGCTTAATTTTTTGACCTGTTTGATTAGCTAGAAAAAATTAGATGAGTAATCAACTCTACGTCGAATTTCTCATCAGTTTGGTTCAATATAACAAACTGTTCAGATTGGTAGGTTGCACTTTTCCAATTTGCAACAAAATTCTTAGAATAGCAAAAATGGAAGGTATTTAAGTCCATATCAACAACAACATCCAAAAGCAGTAGCGGAGCTGAAATTTTAAAATTTTGAATTTTTTTGATATTGAAAATGTTTTGTGCTTGCAATAATAGACATCGAATTCAGCTGCAAACTGGAAAAATTATTAGTTTACTACTATCAATACTTGTACTCCTTACGCACAACACTATACAATTTTCCTTGAAAATTAAATATTATATCCGACAAATTTTCAGCAACAGCTGCCTTAATTTTCTAGCTATACAACTTATTATGGTACAAGCATTCCTAACGTAGATGTGATCGAACAGACTACCATCAGTTATGGCGTGGATAGAGATGTAATTTCGAGTGTAAACTCTAACTGGACGCAATCAGCAGCTAGTTGGTTATACGACGTTCCTGAAGGATTTCGAGGAATGTTAAATTGGGCGAAACAGCAATTTGGTAATCCCGATATACTAGTAACGGAAAATGGATGGGCAGATGATTTGAGCACACTCAATGATACAGAAAGAATTACATACATACAGGTAAGATAAAAAAAAACTAACATAAATGTTCAACTTAGAGTACAGGAGAAATTTCTTAAAATAAAATAAGTTTAAAGTTCCTACGTATACTTCCGCGTACGTATATATACCGGCACAACATACATGCCCCCCTGACTTGAAAGCTGGATCCGCCCCTGCTCAATGCATAATAATAAAATTTCGCTTTCTGGGTCAAAAGTATTCGAATTTCCTCACTCACAGTGGTATGATTGAATCGAATTTTAATTTCTCAAAAACTAAACTAAAAACACTCAAATCTAAAACTTCCTGATCGTCAAGACTTTTTTGAGAAAACTGCCAACATTTTCTTATCGATAATTTATTTTTCTCTGGAATGTTGTAAAATGAACGTTTTTGTTCATTTGTCTTTCGAGAAATGCGCAAAAACGGGACTGAAAACATGAAATGTTGCCATAATCTTGCACCTAAGTGTCTGATATTCAAATTTCGCTTTCTGGGTCAAAAATACTCGAATTTTCTCACTGATTGTTCAACTTGACGAACTTTGACTCGATTGAATTTCGAAAAAATTAGCGTTATGTTTGAAAGATTTACTCATAAATAAGTAAACAAAATTATAACGGTTGGAAAGTCTGATATACGACGTCATTTTAAGATAATTTCTAAATTTATTGCACGCTATACCACAATACAGGAAATAAATTTAACTCTAGTTCGGATCCAATTTAATGGGCAGTTGCGTCATATGATGTTACGGGGTAGAAATAAGCTCGGCCATCAGTGGTGTGCGTATTTAATTTTTTATTTGGATTTGTCAATAAGGCATTGTGAAGAATCGTTTTTTTGGGAAAAACTTCACGTTTAGAGACCCGACTGCAAACGACTAGCAGGAAATAAACTACTTAGCTTCTAAGCACAATCAGCTATTTATAAAGAAAATACGTGAAGTGATTAGAAGTTCCAGTAACAAAGATTTAAAGTTGTTTACTTTTTATAAGTCAATTTAAAAATATGTTTTAATTTTTTTTTAGTTCTTGCCAAAACAGGTCAACTAAAACCAGTAAAAATCATAATTGCAAACTATTTCCAAAAACGGCATTGAACTCAGAACCCCCTAAAAGGACGGCCAACACGAAACAACGTTTCTCAGACACTCAAAGCTTTAATAACGTAAAAAATCAATATCGCAGATCTAGAAATTGCCATATAGGAACTTATACAGTGACTGTAGTTACTAATCCAAGCCACTGTCGTTCGTGTACATTTTATTGGTTGGCCAGCGAAACTAATAACAACACTTAAAATTCAGGTTTAGATGGTTTTCGGGCAGATTTGGGCGCGTTCTCGTGCTTAATTCGAATTAATCTTTCTGATTGTATGGTCGTATTTTATTACAGTTGGCTATTTGAAAATTTCTGCTTTTTTCGGCGACTTTAGAAATCTTAAGAGGGCATTTGCATGCCGCTGTCTCATAGTGGTACCTTTTTCAGTCTGCAAACTTTCTGACGCAACGAATTGCGTAAGTGCAAAGCTTACTTTAAACTGTGTCATTTGATCCTATTTTGTCGAATCAAAGTCAAAAATGTGTTAAAATATTAACTTTACTTCATCTGAATCAAAAATATTTCATCATACTTCCCGTCCTTCATCCGAAGTCAATGGGTATTTTCCTATCACTTGATTATCACGGTACAAGAACGTAACACGGACGTCACAAAACATTCAAAATGTTACTTATTCTTCCGAGAAGTATGTGTATGGTAAAGAGTGGAAGATTAATTTGAACTAGATAATTTGGTCTAGCACTGCAAATTTCCTTGTTTCCTATTAAAGAAAAATTACGGCATCTTGGTAGGTTTATGCCGGCTAGGATATTTTCGCTTATCGATCGCCCTAAATAACTCCCGGGATTGCAGAATATGTTTTCTCTTACCTCATAGGTTTTGTAGCGATAGCAGTAGGTAGAATGGTATTCTTTTTGTTGGCAAAAGAACAAGTCTCGATACTATTAGAAAATGCATTTGCGTGTGTAACTACAGACGCGAATCCCAAATCTCCCAAAGTCGGTGGAAATTTTAGCTATTTTTTATTTAAAATGTAACTTATTAAAGTGGAGCGCTTTTGGGATACGTTGAGTGGAATCACCGAAAACCATACAAAGACGGCAGGATTTAAATAATAATATTCTACTGATCAAATTTGGCTCAATGTAAGCGGTTAAATAATTACATATTTCAGGGTCACTTGTGCAACTTACTGAAGGCGATTTACTTGGATGAAGTAAAAGTTTTTGGATATACGCATTGGAGTCTGATGGATAATTTCGAATGGGCAAACGGTTATACGTGAGTATACCGTTAATCATCATATTTAAATTTTGAGAGTTAACTTACTGATAAAAACCTATTTAGATGATGCTCCTACTTTACGTTTTATTAAAAGCCAAGAAAAATGCATGTGCTTATTTAAGCAGAATTATTAACTAAGTTTTGTTTTAAATAAAAATTCATATTTTAGTGAAGGTTTCGGATTAGTCGCCGTCAACTTTACGGATCCTGATCGAACAAGAACTCCTAAAAACTCCTACTACTACCTTCAAGATATTATTGCATCCAATTGCCTGAGTAATTGTCCTTTTTCAAGTTGAACTGAAATACATGTTTATCTATAAATGGCAGGAAAATAAATATGATATAAAAATAGGAAAATTATGTATATTTATTTGATAAAATGTGCCCACTATTCTTTAGATTAGGTAGATAGAAAGAAGGCGTCACTGGTGATTTAGGCTTGGAAAAATATGAGCAAACTAGATCAAAAGCGCCATTTGTTCGTAACACTTTTCAACACAGGATTAAAAGATAGCACTTAAAAATTATTAGAAACATCTTCGTCTGGCTCTTCATCTTCTCATGGGCTCCTATCGTATAGCTGTCGAAGGATTGTTTGTAGTCCAAAATTTTCTGTTATAAGCTATTGCATAGCTGAAATCGGATAAACGTATTCAAAATTATATCGTGGATAGTTCAGTACATTTAGCCGTGTATGTGGTAGTTTTTCAGCATTTCAGGAACAAAACATGCTTCTAAATGCTAATGTACCAGAAATTATAACATATTTCGCCTTGAAAGAGTCTGCTTGTACTGTACTACTAAATACTAACAAGTGCTCTTCAATGTTGATGGTCCTGTAGGTACATTGGTTGGAAAAAATCTGTTAGATTTAATGTATTAGTCATGCAAGACTCGTCCATACCATGGTTAGTAGCAACGTTACCACATCAATAAACATAAAAATCGTAGCGCTACCTGCATACTGACCATCGTGAAGGGGATCTATAGTGTGGATCATGAGCTGGAGGAGGCCGTGCCGAAATTTGGCTCCTGTTTGGTGGCTGGAAGTACTAGACGGTACTTGCGGCGTTTCAGAAGCTGCTCGTGACGTCATACTTCCACCAGGTTGAGTACCAACGCTTGTTTCGCTCGAAGTTGCCACTGTGCCATGCTGAAATTCAAAAAAGTTTTATTTAATAAAATTTATACATTGGCAAATAAAGGATGAAACTCTCAATTCAGAAACTAACCAACAAATCTACATCGCAAATTATTTTCCAGCCAGCACGATCACGTCATTATCACGTCATACTGGTCTCACGTGGCACATGTAACATTTTGGTGTGTAAAAATGGTCACTAAAACGTGATTTTTGACCCCAATCTCAACCTATGCTTTCAATTACGTTTTCTGGCTTCAAAATGACATTAGTTAGAAATTATTTATCATTATCACAAATAGTATGCTTATTGCATTCCCCCAAACTGTATAAACAGATGAAAAATGTAAACTCATTTAGTACAATGTAGATTTGAAGGAAAATTTATCTTATTTGCCAGCTCGTATGACCTTTTCAGTTGAACATGATTACTTATTTTCAAGACATAATAAGAAAAAAGACGCTTTTGCACTGCTAATAAAGTTCGGTCTGCATCGAGTGCATCAACATTCTTTATGCTTAGTAGTAAGCCACATGCACCGAATCGTTTCGCGAATATGTTGGGTGTTCCAATAGTAATTACAGAAAATTCAGATACGTAAACATGTTTCTCAAATTGAAACGTGAAATATTGCGTGGAAATATTGCCGTGTGAAAAGGCACTTTCTACAAAAATGAGAACAATAAACAAACTGAAATCGAACTGCCAAGTAAAGCATGAATCATCGAAAGGGCTAACAATTAAATGATTCAATAATGTTTACTCTGTAGTTCGATGACTTTTTTCCTCGAAAATGTTTATGAATGTTCAGTTTTTTACCGACAAAAGACGAAACCAGTCAATAAACGCATTATTAGATCGGAAATATAGAATAATTGTGACCCTTATGGCAAGTGAGGTAATTTGTGAAAGTGTAGTGCCTTTCTTGAAGACTAATGGGTACAAACTGGAGGATAGGGCGCCAGCTTTATAGCAATGGACCTTTATGTACATTTTTGTACCTTTATAGCGTTGTACATTTAAAATGAAAACTGGGACGCTATGTGACGTCGAAAATTATCCATGCACTTGAGTTATAATAATTATTGTAAATTAGTTAGAAAATATTATCAATTAAAAAAAAATTGGAGTTTCTTCTAGTGTCATTCTAAATATATTATTATCTCTTATCTACTTCTACTACGAAATTACCATCCACCATCTTAGACAGGCGGGCTGGTATGTATGGAATAATAATCATGGAAATTTTCTAATGGATCGCTAAATGATTATTAATGGAGCCATAACTTGAATTGTGATTTTATCAGTTGAAAGGATAGAATATTATAACCGAATAGAAAATAGGTTAAAATTAGTGGTTATAATGGGAAATTTGTATGTATGTTGTTCCAAAAAGTTTAGTTTATACATTTATTACTGATAATGAAGTAAGCTTTTGTACTACCAATGGAATTAACAAAATGACCGAGTGTCAACAAATCTGAGACTTGATCTCACGAGAACCAAAAGGTATTCAACTTTTAATGACTTCGATTTTTAAGTGAGGCACATTTGAAAATTAGTTCCAACTATACCCGAAAAATATTATGCATCAAACTTACGTTTTTTACTATGCCCTATATATGATTACATTTTTAAATTCTGCCAAAAAAATTAAGGCAAGTTGAATGGAAGTTACAGATAGAAATTCAAATATTGTAACTACTTAATCGAAATTTAATTACTATGGAATTGTATACAGTAATGTAACGAATGTGTGATGAAAAACTAGTTTTTACTTTGATACAGTTACTTTGATAAAAATTGATCCATAATCATGGATATCTAAATGAAATTATCCCTGGGTTCTATATTCATAATTAATTCACTTGATAATGGCTATCATAACACTATAATACACATATTTAAATAATGTAATAAAGAAAGCCGAAGCGAAGTAAACCTAAATAAGACTACAGAGTTTTTTTAGAAATAAAATTCTAAACCCATACGCGAAGCTGTTAGAGACATAAAACGAATGTTGGCCGTGTAACAACAACACGGCAGAAAATCTAAAATCGAAATCATCTTCTAACCAATTTGTACACGCCGAAACCTCACATCAATAACATTGGAAAAGAAATTCCATTTACAATCTGCCGTTGTGAATGAACGAACATAGACAGGCGATACTTTGTTTTGCTTTCAAAACCACATAGACGAACAAACTTTTGGTCTTATTTGGCGTTCTCGAAGTTTTTGTTTGGAGTCGAACAAAGCGAAGCAAAGCCATGCCGTCCTAAAACGAACTCGGCGGAAAAATATGAAGTTTTGCTACACTGCAGCGGTTTTGATTGTACTGAGATGTGGTCTTTTCAAATAAATAATAGCTGTGTTGAAATTATGTAGCTATTTTGGATGAATTGCCAGTGTTTGCGAGTATATTATTTTCCAGCGAAATATTTTCTTTCGAGGTTGGTCTTCTAATATCTGCATTAAAAATATTTATCGACTGATGTTGAAAAGGATGATTCTAAAAACGTCAGTTCTCATAAAATATGCCTGCCAGGCCCCGGCTACCAAAATGCAAATTTGAGGTGTCGTTCGGTTTGATCTATTACTCGATCAAAAACCGCTTATGTAAAGGATGACAACATTCAAGAGCTTGAAAATTAAAGCTGTTCGAGGCACGCAAGTTCGAATGTAATTACTTAAGGCTATATTTGATGTAACTATGCACTGATTTTCGTATTGATGGAGTAGACTAGTGAGAAAGTCTACTTCGTATGAATTTATACGTGAAGAAAGTATAAAGATTTCATTGTTAATATCATGTTTTTAACATGTGTAGATCTGTAAGAACAATTAAAGGATTTGATGGCGTGTAAAGAGTGTAAGGCCAGAAGCTCGCTAATTAGACCTGGTTGGGCACCTTTTGGTATACTGAGATCAATATTCAAGAGCAAAATGAATAATAGTCCGAAGAAAATTGTGACGAAGTAGTAGAAACCTTTTTTGCTTATAACAAAAATGAAGAGAACATTTTGGATTGACAATTAAAAAATCAAAGCCGATGTTGGCAGGTTCGTTTTTTAACTTCCAATAATTTCAACGTTTCTCTATCGCACACTCGATCTTCTGTAAGAACTTTTGACTTCCCACTCACCGCTTTAGCAAAAGTGAGGGATTATTAAAACTCATCAAAAGGAGTTGTTTTTCTTCAGCATCTTTTTCAACTTCTCATTTAATAATTCCAATCTCCCCTGTTTTTTCATAGTCCTTCTTTCTAGCGGGTCTACTGTTTGGAAAGTCAAATATTTTTATAATTTAAAAACTCAATTAGTTTTCATCTGAAGAATGCTTGTAGAAATATTTGCTAATTTCTAATGTTTTAACCAGCCGGTGGGTTTCCGGCCAATAAAAGTCCTGATGCGCCATTATCCCACAAAGCTTAATGCATAATAGCTTACTTCTCGACCTAGGTATATAATATAGTATTGTATTTAAGAGACACCCAAAAAATAATAATGTAACGATGTTTCTGACGGTGACTTTGGCATATCTATGTACTTTTAAAAATTTTATTTAGGTTTTATTGACGCGCTTTACAAAACTCTTTATATTTGTTCTACAAGATGCCGAAAGCAACATGGCTTACGCCAACCGCCAGCTTGAAAAATAGAGAGGAAGTCTGGAGCCGAATTGAAAATAATGGATGGGTAAGTGAAATTCTAAAGTACTATTTATAATTCCGTTAGCAGATAATGAGATACGAACGTAATGAAGCACGCAATTCCAGTGTATAGAGAAAAATCCATATTTAATTTACTCATAATAAGTTGCACCTACCTGAAAATGAATGAAATTGAAATCACTTCGTGATAGTGTTTGAGTTTTGATCTCATTTTGAATTTGCTATTAAGAAGCCATTTAAAATAATTGAACGTTGAATCCGCACACTATTTGGTTTGTATTAGATAAATATACAATATAGAGACGCTCTTCTCAACTCTCACGATCAATCACGTGATATTGTACTGAAATTTGCTTCGCAAAAATGTGATTGGTAACAGAAATAGTGAAAACGTTTAACTATGTCATTGTTTTATCATTACAAACTATCGCAGTTTGTTACAAATATAATTGTTTTGAAAATAATTAAGTTCACTCTCAGTTAGATGATTAGATTGTATTCATAATCTTACAGAACATGATGCGCACTTAATAAATGATCGCTGAATTAGCAACAAAAGTATGCAAGAGGATAAGATTTTGAAATCACAAAATCCAGATCCAGGTTGGCATTTTTTTTCCTTGCAAACGGCATTAATATACCGAAAATTGTGGGTGTCCACTGCATATTATAGACATAATATGTATAATAAGTAATGTGTTTTAAATGCAGGATTCCATAATTTTCATTATAGTGATCTTAATATGTACGCTTGGAACGAAACTTTTGTATCCACGGGTGTCCAGGAATTTGCTTATCGTTGCATGAATTATACTGGACAAAATATACATTTTTAAATGTGTGTAAGCATCGTTTTTTGGTGGGTGTTTGAGGCTCTCGTTGGTTTTCAGTGTAATCTTAATTAATTATTAAGAATTAATGTTGAATGAATAATGTTAATTAATCAAATTAATTACGCCTGCGATGCAAAATCGAGTAAAATTGCAAAATTGTGAAATTTTGTACTTAAATTTAGCAGTGCGCTCTTTATTTGGGACATTGTGTATAACAAATTGCAAAGTATCAAACATTGAGGTTCTGGAAATTTGTGAATTGTCCCTTTTTAAGTTTTATCAAACTGAATTAAATTAAAAGATCACATTGATTTTGAGAGGATTTTGAAAATTGCTAACAAAAATAAAAAAAGTTATTTTTGCATTTGTGCAGTTCGAACTTCAAAAATTCGTCATTTTCAAATCTGTGGAGATTATAGTTGGAAACTTTGCAAACCTATAACCAAGGGTGATTTTGTACAGACGGTTTTTTTTTGGGAAATTTTCAAATTTTTGCTTATATCAATTTGGTATGAATAAATAAATCAGTTGCTGTTTTTGAACATTCGTAGTTTCTAACGGAGAAGAAACAGAGGATTGGAGTTTTGCCGAAGTTAAGCTTCAGAATAATTGTCTGCTTGAGCCGAAATTTCAGAAATTCAACGTGCTTATTCAGTTTTTCTACATTTTTCAAACTGCCCATGTCAAAAAGCTGGTTTTCCCGTATAGCGCATTTCTACCTGGGAAAATCCGTTACAGAAGGTATAAAGGTCTGCGATTCCCACATTTTTAACATAAGGATCAATATTTACTTCTGCAAAATTCTCTGAGTACTGCACTGATTCGCATTGACTTGAGGAACATTTAAAAATTGCTCATTTATTTCAAAAAATTCAATTATACAGTTACCGTTCAGAACCCGAGCAAAAATAAACCGTAAAATATCTGACTATAATGAAGGAAAAGTTGCGCTCAGCAGAGCCTTAAAAATGTATGTAAAAGAACACAATAACCACAGCAAGCAAATGTAAACATTTTAAATATTTCTTATGTCCAGCTTGAAATTTCTCGGCACTCACTGCCTATGTTTACTTAACTGCATGTTTTTTTTCAAGCTCGGCATTGAACCCGCAGCTGACCTCATTGTTTATTTAGGGCTATGTTAGATTGTATTTACGTAAAGCTAGGAAGGGCTATTATGAAACCTAAATTTATTCATGCGATGCTTATCTATGCATGATAGTGGGTCTGATTATTTTGATTAATTGCGCTCACAGATTTACTTGAGGATCATAAATAATATAATGAAACAATAGTTTATTTTATTGCACAATTTTGTTTGAAAGTAAGACATTGTTTGAATTAATCAGTTTCATATTATCACTGGCATTACATCATCCTGCATACAGTCTGATTCAAGCATTACCGAAAGTAGAATGATGTGTTGGAATGTTTGATCAATAAAATTTCCTTTATATACGAGACTTTGTAATTTTAACGATATTTTTTCTGCCAACTTCTTGTGACATTTAATTTTGAAAATTCCAGTTCGGTAGTTCTGAAAGCAAATGCAACGGCTCGGTTTCAGAGGCAGATTTTAATCATCAAACAAAAAAAAACACAAATGAAATGCAACTAATAATGAAATGTAAATTAAAAGAGTTCCCGTAATCACATAATGTATTTTCAAATTAAGCTAATAATATTAAAGTGCCGCATTTGAAAATTGTGCTTTTATTTGGAGTGGACTCTATAAGAAATAGCAATGAACCGAATTGAAGAATAGAAATGTTTTATTCGAGGAGAATTGTCTTATTGGGGAAAATCAATATGAAATCCTGCAACCGACTGTTAAAAAGTACCCCAATATTATTTTCACCCGGTTATATTATTGACCGAGGAAAGAAAGGCGAGGAAAGAAAGAGCATCAATCATCAGCTTCCGATTCGAACTGGATTAGTTCAAGTCCCTATTATTCGATAAAACTTAAGAAAGATACAACATTGAACTTTGTTTTTCAGATTTTCGCATTTTCAGGACGTTTTAAAATAGTTGCAAAATAATAATTTTTTTATTAAAATGATTTATTGTGTCAGAATTCAAAACCAATCACTAAAATTGTTTTCATTGGCTGTGTGTAACGACTAATAACTATTATTGAAAATATTTATTGAAAGAATTGAGTCTCATCATCTGTTTGTTTCATAAATTTGATATAAATTTATGCAAATGTGCATACATTTGTGAAACATTTTTTTGTTATTGATTAATGCATAATTATTTTTTGCTATTACCAATTGGATAACGATCGTCCTGATTTCCTAACTTTTTGAAAAATACATTTTAATCCAAAACAGAGTGGTAGTTTATTAAAATCATAAATCGAATGTATTATTATCTTACCGATTTATATCCGTTTGTGCGACACATGATTCATTAGGGCTCGCTAGTACCATAGAAGTTTAAGCTTGATTTCAACTAAACTGAACTTCAGTCTAAACTGTTAAAGTTCAACTTCAACGTTGGAACGTTGTTAAGCAACATCCAGGTTTAAGCTTCTATTGTACAACCGGACCTAAATGTGCAATATCGGCAGTTCAAACAGACTCTTAAAATAATGCTTGCAAAACCGAGTTATACGAATTACAATAAAATAAAAACTTTTATTATAAAAAAATCTCATTAATAACGCTTCGGAAATTTCAGTCAAGAGCGGATGTAATCATTTATTCAGCGGCATCTCTATCTTTAAAAATGCAGAAGTTCGCACACAGCGATTTAAATATCGGCGACCCTAATAAAATAAAATGTTTCATGAGGAAGAGACATTACTTTAAACACGTATTATACTTTCGCAAATAACCCCAGTTTTTTTTGCTAAAAATATATAAGAATCCTTTTTACTGACCCTACAGCAAATTTAAATTGACGAAAACAATATCTACTAAAACATACATTTATTCAAAGAGGCATATAGATATTGTAACATTTTATAGTTGTCGGCCCTTTCGGCAAATACATTTCTATTATTTCGATTATTTAGTCATAAAAGTTAAAATACGTTAGTAAAAATGTATTATTTATTACTTACAACTGCATTGCACTTATTTAATAAATTGCAAAGTATGAATAGGAACTTCCGCGAGAAGTGATTAACTTTAATTATCAAATATCCGGAATAAATAACTGAACAAAAATAATGGATGTATGTAGAGATTTCTACCAATAAACCTTTTCTCACTCAACCAATAAATTGTTATAACTGAGCAATACAATATATTCCGTTGTAAAGCCGTTGTGCATGATTTTCAGGCTATCAAACAACCAAATGCGAATTCCTCTTCGATAACTCGTTAATATAAATCATGAGCTTTTCACCCGCGAAGATTACAGTAAAAACATAGACCTTCTACAGACAACCAGTATCCAAATTGTTTGCAGGTGATTTTGTTCTATCAGATGAACTAGGTTTTCTTGGTTGAAAGTTACCCAAGTTACCTACGAAAAAATACTATAGAAATATGTAGTTTTCAGCTAAATTTTAAAAAAAATTGAGCAAAAGTTTAAGAACTTAATTATATATTTTCGCAAATATTATGTTATGGCTTTGCTCTGAAATCTATGTACAAAGCCTCAAAAGGAAACCCAACCGTTCCAGAGTGTGATGGGTGATTTGCATAAGCCGCAACTCCGGTCAAATAATCTCTTTACTATTGTTGGCGTTGATAACAACAGACCTTCCATAATGAAGGATATCAAGATAGTACAACCATCAAGTGTTTGCGTTACCTATTATGGTAAATCCCTCCTTTTCATCTTACTTCTGGTTTACTATACAGGTTCTGTCGCGGTGATAGACCCTTAGTGCCACTCAAACAAGTAATTTTAACTGGATTTAAAAAAATGGAAAAATAAAAAACATATATTAGAAATAAACATACATTATATGTACAGGGTTACTCAAAATTATGGAATTAAACTTCTCGGAATTGTTCAGTGCACCAATAGAAGGCATTGACTAGAAGAACCAATGTTGAAAAACTCAGCAGAAGAACTTTTTAAGACCCTTTAAAACCGTTTTGTGCAAAAATGGACCGGAAACTCTGGCTGCTTAAAATGCGAGACAATTTTTATATGTGCTACAGAGTGTTGCAAATAATTAAAATCACTAAAAACTTTTTATATTTATGGTCCGTTTCAAGCAACAAACGTCGCTAAAGAAAACTGGGTATAACTGGAGATTTAAAAAATATTTGATCATTTATTAAGGTTAACTTTGCGAATTTAGGAGAAGCAGAAGGACTTTATTTTCAAATTCAACATTTGAAAATCGTAGTTTCGTAGACGAGGGCTTCAATTTTGTAAATGGTTTATGGCTAAAACGTAAAGAAAAAGCTTTTTGCTGCAATGGATTAAAAGAAGATTATTGAAAAACTAAATACTTTATCGCCAGTAATTTATTATGTACAAAGTTAGCCTTAGTAGGTGACTGCACATTTCAAAAATCAAGAAATGTTAACATATAAACAAATGAAGGTCTTGTTTATGAGTTACAAAATGTTCAAATATGAGATTAAAAGCAAATTTGAGATATTCAACATTGAGAATCAGAACTGCCCCTAATGGTCTATCGTGGAGACACACCCTGTATAAATTCCAGAATGTATGATTTTTTAATTTCTCGATTTTTTGCTACGTGCATCAGGATTGATTCAGAAATATAATTTTATAAAGATAATAATAATTCTGATTTTGTTACTGTTGCGGAAAAACAGTAAAAGTGCAAACGTTGATGAGAACACCCAATCAAATGTTAGAACAACAAAATGTGAAATCATTAAATGACGAAGACAAACTGCAACTAACCTATTTCTCATTCATTAATACCAAATCGATTTCGATTCTATTATCTGTCCGACAAATCCTGAGAATCTATTCATTTCCTGAGAAACGGAATAACCATTACTCATATAAATCCTTTATCCCCCTTAATGGAATTGGAAATTCCTATAAGGTGACCAAAGGTTAGACACCATATCAACGTTCTAGTGCTCATATTCACGTGCCATTTAAATATATGTTACCTAGATAAAGCAATTTTCATAAATATTATAAGACACACACAAAAATTTCAGTATTCAACGAACCAATCAGTTACCGTTACCTATAAGCTTTCGAGCAAAAAATACTTCTTGTTTGCTTCGGCAGATGCAAGCCACTCGTGCTTGCAAAACTTCATGGAACAAATATTTTCTACTACAGCCTACAGCGTAAATTCTCGAAAGCCCCACCAGTTTCAGTGGATTTGCCTGATTTTGAGCAACGATTTGAGATGGCATGGTAAATTCTATTACTAGCTTCATGAAATCGTTTTAACCGAGTTCCCAATTTAAATCTAAAGGAAAAATAAAGATTAAATTGTGTGCACTTTGGCTAGGGTTTGGTGTGTTTTTTGGAGATCTGTAGCATGCATAACCGGAAGAACAAAATTTGAAAAATTACAAATAACTTCTGTATGCTTCGGTCTATGCTCTTAACTAACAGGCTGGTATGATTTCAAAAAGTCCGAATTATCGATGCCCAATTATATCGCGCTCAATGTGAATATGGGGTGTTTAATTCTGTTTCCATACGTTTGAAGTTCCCTTGATATTTGAAAAAAAATCAAACATTTGTAAAATCCTATGAAATCTACTAGTTGTACTAACAAAACCTTAATCAAAATGTTGGGCGTTTGATAACCCTGTATACTAGGTTCGGATGTTTCAACCGCATTTTCTGATTTAATTTTAGAAAACGATTGAAATGAGTTTGGATCCGCAGATAACGTACTTCAACAATCACCAAAAACACTCACGAATGTTGGAATATGATCATTATTTTGCATTCACAAAAACGTTTCCCATATGGGATCCTAAAAAACCGAAGGATAATACCAGATACTTGCCGAATATTCGAGAAAATATATTTCAGCAGGTGTGCACCAATTTATTAGAAGGTTTAATAAAACTTATGCCTACTGGTTTTTTACTGTTTGTGAATTATGTTTTACTGGAATCTTTATCGTAAATTTAAAGCAATAAAATAAGTGATAATATAAGCCTTTTAAAAAGTACGTTTGCTTATATTTTACATTTATTTTTATAGTTATAGCTTTATTCGTATAATACCGTTTTTCTAAAGACATGTTAACAATGCCAGTCACAAAGGATGACCTCTAGGCATAATTTTACTGCGAATTTCACGTAGGTAACACAAGTGATGACTTCAATTTGCGTTTCACTTTTTCATAATATCTATGATATTGAAAACAACCAAAACCATTGTGCTTCCTTTTTTTATTGTAACAAAACTTCATTTATTACTTAACTTAACAATCGGAAAACTTTCTGTTTGACTTCTTTTGCAGGAAAAAAATAAGCCAGTGCCTGCGCTTACATCACTAACCTATGGACGTCCTACACTTTCAACCTATGACGAAGTGGAAACAGCTTTCAAGCGATCATGTGCAACCGCTGACTTTTACAGGAAAAAGGGTGTTTTGCAGGTTGAAGCTAAAGAGGAAAAACAAGAGAATCCATGATTGGAATAAGCCAATCAGTTTACAATTTCCAAGAAATTTTCCAGTTTAATTGATTGAAACGAAATTATTTGAGAGTTAAATCTTGATTCTAACAATTTATTACCGAAAAAATGTGCAATCAGTTACTTGAACTACTTACTGAATAAGTAGATTTTATGTAATTTCAGGCAATATTATTATTGATGTTCAATATAAAATATTTTAAGACAGTAAATGCCTTTTATCAAATTTCAAATAAATAAAAGTTATCCACCTGCTATAGCAATTTAAATGTGAAATATTCCATTTTCTTTCGCAGTAAATTTAATACAATTACTTTTCAGGATTGTTAATTTTGAACTTACCTTTTTTCACCAAGATCTAATGCAACTTTGCACTTACCAACCCTGGAGCAACAGTGTACCAAGACATTCTTCTTCACATTTTAAGTGATTTAACCTACTTTTATTAAGCTGGTATTGTTTTTATACACATAACATCAACAGTGACCAAACAATACCATCACTATTAACTGTGTAGCGACAGATAAACATACTAAACTATGAAGTATGCTACTGTTAATAACATAAGTTTCACCAATGCAATCAGAAAACATCAGGGAAATATTAGTTTACTTGCCTTACGGTATGCAAAAGATCATGAAATGATCTCGCGCAATACGAATAATCCACGAAATGTTAGCATAGAAACTATGCATATAACCAGTTCAATCAAAGCCAAATGTAATTGTTCCTGTTTCACATAAAAAAAATTGTTTTACCATCAACTCTATTTTATATATTCCTTTACTGTTTTATTTTTCTAATTAATTTCCAAATCAAGTGTTATGTGCAATAGTTCTTTAAAAATTAACAATAAACTCTCCAATTTTTGTGGGTTTTCCGAAAGAAATACAAAGTATTAATTCATTAATTATTGAATAATTAATCGTGTCTTCTATTACAAGTTACAAAGCCTAATCATCAGAGTACATCAAATTACCAAATCTCCATAAAACGAAGGCATCCAGAAAAACATTGTAATTTTGCAGGAAAACTATAGGTTATTGTATTCATAAACATTTGTCTACAATGCATTCATATAAAATCGTAGAAATGCATCTGCAATTTCTATAACAAGGTGCACAACACAAAGAGAACATTTATAGGCATGCTTCAGGTAGCAACGAATAGACTATATGGCATTGAGAAGTAGCAGTCTTAAAGGAACATTTTGCACAAACCGTAACCAAAACTCGGAGTTAACTTTTAAATACTAATTGGCAGTTTTTCTGTGCACAACTCAGAGTTTTTTGCTGCTTGAAATGTGCCTCGAAAAGGCATACGGTTATTAACTAGAAAACTCACATCCCTCATCAATTTGAATCAACAATAGAATAAATAACCGAAGTTCGAAACGAAATAATTTTATCATATTTGTATAGTAATTGGCCTGAAGTAGGTTTAGCGATTATTTTTGTAATAATAATAATACTTGTAGTAAAGTAGCCTTTGTAAATTAGCGATCGAAAATGTTTAGCCGTTTTAGTAATTCATGATTTTGAGAAATTACTTTTTTGTTGTGCACATATTGGATTGCCAGTAAAGGTGCCTTAAAAACTATTGCAATCGCTTGCCCTAGTTTGATACTTTAATGCCTTTCGTATTATTTTATATCTCGGAGGTATTTTTTGATCATAAAATGTTGATAACAACATTAACGAAAATCACCAGTTCTTCAAACAATAGCCGCTTAACTCATTACTATTTCATACTGTGGATATTCACCATTATTTCGTCTGTTAGGATAGAGAATAGAACCGATAATGGTATTAACGGTATAATTCCGGCCGGAGTTGATGGAAAATTAGCATTGTGCCTTAGCAATTCGCAGGAAATTGCATTAATCCATACGCGTAAATGATGAAAAATTCAATTCAGTTTCCTGGCGTAAAAAATGCTTCGTTATTAAATAGCATATAGCAAGAACAAATCTGTGAGAATCATGGAAAGAATGAGTGCTTTGCACCAAAAAAAAAAGCATAAAGAAGTTTTCACAGTTCGAAAAACTGTTTAATTAATTCGCAAGATTCCTGTACTCAGGATTCAGTTCAATTTCCACTCCATGTGCCCATCATTAACCATACCATGTCATACATCAAACAATAATTACCTTCGAATAAAAAACATTCTTGTTCAAATACATAAAAGTTTCTAAATTGAGCAAACGATTTATTTGGTTTATAAAGAACGTGCAGTTACGCACAAGACTGCACACTACAAAAAGTAAAAAAATGTCTTGAATAGTTCCGTAACGAGCCAACTGCGGACCACTTATAGTTCTATTTTTAAATTGATCGATTACAAATACCCGGTTTCAAGTTCAAATATGAAACTTTGGATGAATATGTGAAAGGTTGTTGTACAGAAGAATCCGTCTAAGCCGATTAAACGTATCTTCTTTTATATTCATATAAAAATTTAAATTCTCAAGGAGATTAAAATTAACTGGAAATCGTACTCGTGATAATTATGTAGCACTATTGTAGCTAATACAGATAATACGAAATTATAAATATAGATAATACACAATAAGAAAAATAACATATTCAGATAGTTTATTAACTGATTTAATAATTTAAATAATATTATATAAACTGTTTATTTGGAGAAAACTGGTTTCGACAAACAATCAATTTAATTGCTTAATAATTTTTTACGTTTTTGTAGTTTAACTGAATTTTTTTTTTAATTTTATAGATTATATATTTAAAGGCACATGATTAGTTTGCGAATTTATGCGCACTTTAGATCGGTTCAATCGGTTAACAAGTAAAGCAAAATAATTCAGATGTTTCAATTCTGTTTTGCATTGATGGCAAGTGGCAATGAAAACGGAAATAATTAATACTTAGAAAAATACGGTATAACCAATAACATACACTTAACAACTTAATATTTTAAAATTTCTCCAAACTAGGGAACAATTTATATTATTAGGTCCTACTATGTTAGTGCAAGTTCTATCTTGAATAAAAAGTAATATATTCTCTGCTTTTGTCGGTCTTTAAATTTTTATTTTCCAAATTTCCGTGCACAGCTTAGCGCAAAAAAAACGTTCAATGGAATGCTACCCAGATTGCAGTAAAAATTGATTTTGTTCAAAAATTCGCAACAGTTTTCGTTCAAGTGCTGCTAATTGCAGAATATGCAATTTATTTGCAATAAAATACTAGAAAAGCAAATTGGCTTATGTGAACGCATGAAGGTTTTTTAAGTAAATTCACTAGTAATATTATTTCTGGGGTATTCAATACAAACTAAATAAATTTGCATTGCAAATACGCAATAACAATTTGCAACATTTGCAGTCTCACATCGCCTAATGATCCTCTAATAAGTTGAATGTCTTGCACAATATGAAGCCATGTTATTACATATATTCGAACTTTTGCTAAAATGTTTACAGATGTATACATGAAAGGGCAGATAATGTGAAAAGTCTTCTTCCAGCAATAGCTCGAGCACAGACTCAAATTAGCCCGATAGAGTGGAAAATGTGCAAGGGAAGTTTTACAACCGATTGAACTACTAAGGCTAAGTTGGTAACTTCTGAAACTGGATTAGATTCTTAAATATATAAATTTTGCTAACATGCTTTTTTTTAATATCTATGTTTAAAAATTTTAAAATAAATTAATTAATTAGTATTTTTAATACATAGGGTTAGAATTAGTGCTGTCGTTTTGTATTTTTCTTTCATTACTTTCAGTGTTTACAAAACTGGTAAAATCGGCAAAATAAACCGGTTAGGGATTAATATGTATATGTATATTCATTATATTTCCCCTCTTTCAAGCAGTTTATCGCTTTTACGTGAGACACTTCTTATGTGTGAGTGAAAAAAATAGTTTTTGTCTTTTTTAACACAAAAACTTCTTTTAATACATACTTAAAGTTTGTTAAAATTGTTAAAATTTTTGAGATTAGAAAGTAGATCTAACCCTATCAAGCCGTATGCGCACACTACCCAATTAATTTACATAAAAATGTGATGATTTGTGCAAAAGCTCCTTCTAATTGCCTTTCAGCTGATAAGAACTGGCAATATGCTAAGTATACCCGGAAGTTTTCGATATGATAGATGGATGAGGTCTGTAGAGAACATCGCATCACCTTAAAACTGCTAATAATAATTAATTCGTATTAGGCCTGTTCGAAAAGTAGTTCCGTATTAATTTGATACGAACTGCTGTTTCATAAACTGATACCATTGGAAGATTTAACTTTAACCAGTGCATCAGTTAAACAACACAGTTACACAACAGTATCCATAACATTGTGCGGATAACTATGTCTCAGAACAGATCTATTCTAAATTAATAAATATATTTTAAGGCGATGCTGAGTTCGGAAAATAGAAGAAACATCAACACCAAAGGTTAGGCAACAGTAAACTAAATACTCCACTGACCTTCTCATTGTCTACTATCACACTGACCGATGCGGACTGAAAAAAAAAGAAATATTTAATATTCACATTCAAAACATTTGAGTCAAAATAAACAAAGACTGAGAAATTTCACCTGTTTCACGTTTGCCCAGCATTTACAGAATGTGAAGAAGAATCTCGGGAGCACAATTTCAATGGTATGTAAAAATTTCGCATAATTTCAAAATTTGAAGTCATTAGTACACTTTTTTGAGTTGCACTTTTTATATGCAGTGTCGGATGAAACTAAATTTCTCAGAAACCGTCCACCAAATTCGAATAAAATTTTGTATCCCGAAATATGAAATTAAGCCCGATTAAACAGTGCGAATATTTTTAAGTTTTCCGATTTTCTGAAATTGTCAGTATTTCCTAATCGGACTCTGTAGATGTTATAATATTATCGAGTTCCTGTGATTCTGAATAGATCTTATCGGAAAAATTTTTGTCAAAAATGTACAGGGTGTGAGCAAATAGCGGTAAAAACATCAGCAGATAGTAGGGCTCCTTTCACCAGTGAGGAAAAACTTAAAAAAACGTAAATTTCTGTTTGGCACATTTAACTGAACATAAATAACCGGAATGAAGCTGCCTTGTAAACAGCGACATACATTATCCTGCCACAAAAAACCTATATTAAAGCACTAGCGGAGATAAAGTCAAGAATTTGCAAAGCCAACAATTTATCAAGCCCTAAGTTCCGAGCTACGTATCTATTCAATGGATGCAGGAAGTATGAAGTACAAAAAGCTTGTCAACGGACGAACAATCAAGTTCCTAACGAAACTTTCAGATACAAAAAATAAGCGGATAGGCAGGGCATTACATCATAAGTAATGTTTGGAGAATGAAAATCACATTTTGGGTAAAGTGTTGTTCATTAGAATGTCTTTTGGTTATCAGTTTTCTTTTCAGGTATTTTTTAAAATATATTGACTTAAGTCCACTGTACCTACTTACCGTTATTTTTCTTAGGTATTCATAACGACATTCTCAAAAAAGACAAAATTATATTTCGAGTAACTTCTATGCGTCCGTTTACAATTTTTATGAAAAATGACAAAAAGTGTATGTATGTGTAAGTGAAATGTATGTTTTTCATGGCATTTCGCATGGTCGTAAATCATAATTCATCAATAAGAATAAAATAAACTTGGGTATAAATACTACCTGGGTGGGTGATGGTGAAAAACATGACTTTTGTCGTATGAATGGACGACAAAATTTACCGTTGCTTCTAAATGCAAATAGCAATTTAATACAAATTAGAATCTTGATTGAGCAAGCATGCAAACTCATTTTATGTATGAGAAAATAACGATTTGAATAAATATTTGGCTGGGCTCTACAAAAGGTCAAAGTGCAGTCACGATTTCCGTTCAAGTATAATTGACCTATTAATAGATGCTTTTAAAGCGAAGTGTTGTAGGTATATAAATGTTAAATCAATACTATCTTTGCTTAAAATCAAAGTAAAAAAAACAGGAGTCAGTCGCTTAGAGGAATCTTCAGCTCAATTTCTATTTTAGCAATAGTTACAAATAAACGTGTTTGTGCAAACTATGCTTTCTGATTGCCTTTTCAAACCACTCCCCTAAAATATATTTTTTAAATATGTTGAAGTCACCAGATTAGCTGAGAGCGTCACAAGAAAAACATATTTGATACATTTTCGGTACATAAAAAACGTTTCCAAAGGCGAAGGAATCGGACAAAGCCAGGAAAGATATATTTACTTAACTCAATATTCATTGGAAGATCGGAGGAAAAAGCAGTGAAACCTGAAGCAACACAACACTATTAGTCGCGAAAGGGCAAACGAAGAATAGATGTAGAAACAGCAACTTACAATATTGCTCCAATATGTAACTATTTTCAAAGTTGAAGGAGTAAACATTCCAAAAAAATAGGTTTTTATATGGGATAAGGTGGATGAAGGATGGAAAAGCAGAAAGGCCGGCGGAACCTCAAATTAAATTAGAACACTTTTAGTTGAAAATAAATACTGGTACTAGTTGATCTAGAGTCTCGACGAATGGCTGTTAACTTTTACCACACTTTTCCAGAAGATAATGACTAAGAGCTGATGCGGAAGATCACAGAAAATTCCTAGTGCCGCACAACCTAAAAACACTTTCAAAAATAGTCCAAAATCCAACCTGAAAAGCTGGTTAACGCTTTTGAGCAAAGCAAATTATGTGGGCTTTGGATTAATGTGGAAAAGACAAAATGGTGGTGGACCATAGTAATCACTAGGTCGCATGACCGACAATTGCACTTCTATGTGAACCACAGAGCAAAAGGCTTTCTTAACGCCCTTATTCTTAATTTAGATTACTTCTACTACATGAACACTGATACTACATGATACGGACTCTATAAGAGCACAATTAATCAATCTAATATGTATCCGAATTATGCATAAATATCGCAAGATTAAACGTTTGTTTCAAACGCTCTCACTAGTTAAAGGTAAATAGAATACCACGTGGCCTTAAATAGAGAATGAGGCCATCTTGAAGTTCAATACTGAGCCTGAATGGAGACATGCACCTAAATAAACACCAACAACAAGCCCCCTTAAAACTAGATAAAATAACTAGAAAGTTTTCAACTATGAACACTGTTTACCCATTTTAAACATGGATTGTAATAGTTTTAATCAAACCCATGCACTTCCTTTCTCAGGCATGAATGTTTAAAGGCACAGGTGTTGAAACGATAATATCAATTTTTATAAAACTTTGCCGTCAAAAACAAGAACGAGGAATCACTATATTCAACTGAGTTTTAAGGTAAACATAAAAAAATATTTGGTAAAAGTTAACTGTTTAGGTGTTTATCGGTCTATAGATAAAGGCAAGAAATAAAACACTAGTTTTGGCCTTATTGATTCTACCAGTAATCCTACCTGGTCTGGTAACATGCGCCCTTTTGTTGCTGATACAATTTACTCTATCTTGGAGAACCCTGAGAACGGCTTAAATATAGCCAGACCAATAAACCCAAGCAAATTAGAATTTAAACGGGAATCTTTAATCAATTATCATCACTGTCACGAACGAACCACATCCATACAAAATAAAGGCTTTTTCACCTGCAAAATATACAATTTTATTATGTCTCTTGTAACTCAATGTAAGATATGTATTGTATTGTTTCATTTTTCGTCGCTCAAATGAAAACTTCGGACTTGATTTTTATTTCATTTATATTTTTATAATTATTTACTTGAAACTGGGCATTCATAGTAGAAATAACATTTTGAACAACTTTGCTAGTAAATTTTATAAAATATACAATTTTATTATGTCTCTTGTAACTCAATGTAAGATATCCAAATTTCGCTTTCTGGGTCAAAACTACTCGAATTTCCTCACTCACGTTGTTACCACTGAATCGAATTTTCAATTCTCTATCCAACGATGTAAAAACGAATTATGTGGCTCAACTGGTGCTTAAGAAACTTCGAAAAAAACAGCGTCATGTTTGAACCGATTTTGTAACTCAAAAAAAATTTGCGTGCTCGCCCATTTTGCTTCCGAAAAATCAACAAATGTTGTTCATTATTGCATTATAGACGAACGACGAGCGTTTTACTATTTCACAAACGATAACTGTCTAACATTTTTTTAAATAAATTGAAAGGAATGATACAATGGACGCCTAAGTCACCGGACTTTACCCTACTGGACTCTTCTGATTATTAAGAACTTTGGAAACTAAAGTTTAAAAAACACCATCGGTTAACTTGAAGCGTTTAAAGGCAAATATCAGAATTGTTTTACATGACCTATGTAGAGAAATGTATAGAGATGATGACCCTGAAATTTTGTGAACGACAGTGAATTTTTCGGTTTTTCTGCAATAATGCCTAATATAGTATTCGTTCTTAATTTTATATTATTAATCAATTCAAATTAATGCCGTTTATTTATTGGTAGATGCGTCTTTACTATTTACCTTCGAATATTTGCTTAAATCGTGATAGGTTTTGGAATTGCTTTCTTTACTTATTTGCTTATAATTATCAATGATGACTTTCAGATTCAGCCCTAACCGTATTATTCACAAATTGGCCTTTTTTGTGAAGTCCCTTTATAAATAATATAGCAACTAATTACAATATCTTAATTTAACATTCCGTTACTAAAGATAAATATTATATACCTTCTAAAATTGCTAGTGGACACTAAGCTACGTAAAATCGGTTCAATACTAGGCATGCAAAAAGGGTAATAGAAAGAATCGGGGTGAGAACTGAGAAAAAAAGAAAGCTTTAATTCTCACTCACCACAGCTTGAACGGCGGCTTGGTGCTGGAAACAAGGAAGCATACATTTAGTACATACAAAGACTTTACAGAGCAGCACGGAGTTTCAAATATTCGGAAATTGGTTAAATGTCTGTTTTCCTAATCCTTCATAAATACGGGCGTATCAACATGAAATACAACGTACAGTACAATGTGTAAGCAATGTGGACGAATATTTAAAATGCATCTTTAGCGAGCATAAAGATAGTGAGATTTCTCATCATGGTAAGTATATACACTGTGTCGCACTTAAGATGGAAACCCCTCATCTTATTTATCTTTACAAGCAAGGTTTTCAGTTTTGATGTTGCGAATAGGGCAATTTGCTATGTATTGAGATGCACAAGAGATGTCAGCAAAAATTTGTTCAGAATGATATTTTAACTGTGAAAACGGAGTTTCAAGCCAAGATTTCAATTTTTTCCACGCAAAGTTTGCAGCTTTTTTGTATCAGGGGAATTCGTTTTCTTTAAATTGCAGATACTGTTCTACAGAAAATCCTCATTGGATTATAAACTGTAAAAATCAATATTCTTAAAAAGTTAATGCTTGATGACAGAATAGTGGGTAATTTTTTCTTTACCGTGAAATTCTTTGAAGATAATGTATTGTTCCATTTTTCGTCGCTCAAGTGAAAACTTCGGACTTGATTTTTATTTCATTTATATTTTTATAATTATTTACTTGAAACTGGGCATTCATAG